ATCGGAAAACACATATATAATTACATATTGTTTTTGTGATTCATCACTATACCTTAATTATGTTCAATTTGTAACAATGAAATTGGGGGTCACTACAACATGAAGAACTGTATTAAAGGGTCGCGGCATTAGGAAGGTTGAGAACCACTGCTCTAGGTCCATCCATGCTATTACAGGGAGAAAAATGAGTTTTGTAAAAGTGATTTAAAATTTTTCTTTTTTTACTGAATTTTTTGGGTGACATTTAGGTTTTAAGTGTACAATTCCATAATACATCACCTGTATATGGTACTGTGTGTTCACCACCCAGTCAAGTCTTCTTCCATCACCCTTTATCTCCCCTGTACCCTCTTCTACCTCCCCCACACCCTTCTTTCCCTCTGGTAATCACCATACTATTGTCTGTGTCTAAGAGTTGTGGTGGTTGTTTTTTGCTTAATCCCTTTACCTTTTTCACCCAGTCTCCCCCCCCCCGCCACTCCCTCTGACAGCTGTCAGTCGGTTTGTTCTCTGTATCCATGAGTCTGTTTCTATTTTGTTTATTTTGTTCATTAGATTCCACATATAAGTGAGATCATATGGCATTCGTCTTTCTCTGACTGGCGTATTTCACATACTCTCCAGGTCGCTTCTCAGCCTTATGGCTAAGATCAAATGTAGTATCTGTTCTTATCAGTTTAGCAGTCATGTGAGTTTAAAAAAAGTTTGTCTAGTCTGTCCCTGGTTGGAGTCACAAGGCTAAATGGTATGAAATAAAGGCTCTGACAAGTTCTATAGTAAACTGTTGATTTTGTTTAACTTGGTTTTCCCAAACCTATTTTAACAGAATCTTTTAGGAATATTTGTTTATTTTACATAAAATGTAATACATTTCTTTGGAAGTGTAGGTAGGAGGGTAGATTTAACCGTGAAGACTAGGTGGCATTTCAACAGGGCTGCTGTTCCTTTCCTAGGAAATGGAATAGGAAAAGTTACAAATAGGAAGGCATTCAAAGGGTGGAAAATTTCCATTAGCAGACTAACATTTCTCCCCAACATATGGCTAAGAAAAGTGTACCATTTGAAGAAATATTATTAATTTCCTTCCAACAAGAGCTTATAAACTTATTTTAGACTGTGTATAACATTGACATTTTGAGGAAAGTGAGAATTTTGAGTAGCAAAAACTAAATTATTTTCAGCTGTTGAGAAAATTCAATGCATAGTTAACAAATATCTTCCCTGCACAAAACCCAAGTCGGCGGCATAGTTAGAGGGGCTTTCACTTCCATGATGCCCTTTAGTCCTCACCAGTCGCACAGGTAGGGGTTGTTGTTCCTCTGGGCCTGACCTGGCGGGACTACGCTGGGGTACCTGCTTTCAGGCAGAGGTCGTTTGGGAGCCAGAGACCAAGTTCTGGACTGAATGGTTCCACATTCTGCTTGACTTGAAATTGTATGCTGTTTCCCTACCTGTGAAGTGGGCACAATACATATATACCCCTTCTCAAAAGTATCAGAAAGTGAAATATGAAATCTGGTGGATGAGGTGAGTTATTAGTTAAACGAAAAGTATATTTGTAACCCTTTAATGAATTCTTTTTATTTTGATGCTTTGTCTCATGAAGTTAGGTTTACTCACAGTGAAGGAAAGTGAAAATCACAGATTTTCTACTGAACCTTTTAACAATTACATGTTAAGGTGTTTCAGTCCGGACTTTCTGATGATAAAAATCCTAACAGCCATTCGGGGCACCGGTGGGGGGTGGGGGGGAGCAATTGCTCTTGTATCTGTTGAGTGTCATTGGATGCCTCACAAACAGCCCCTCCCCTCTTGCACCAGAATGTCCATAGACACAGAGTGGAAGAGGAAGATGGGGAGGTAATTCAGTGTCTTCTGGATATAGAAATATTTCCACAATATTCCTGACAAATCATCACAACTCATCTAACAAGAGGGACTGTCGTTTATATATACTCCCAAGCAAGAGGTTTCAGAACCAGACTAAAGCAGATTCCAATACCAGTTCCCCCATCTTAGTAGCCTTACGACCTCAACCAAGTAATTAAACCTCCACAACTCAGTTTCCTTACCTGTAAAACATGGGTAGTAATTGTATTATTCACTGGGTCAAATAGGTCATTAAGTGGAAAAAAGCATCTGACACATTTAACACACTGTCCTGTGTGTTGTGAATGCAAAAAAAAAAAAAGTTTTGGTTATTATTGGTTAGTAAGTGCTTAATGAATATGTATTATTACCTAGCCCCTGCTTTGAGCAAATGTGCCTGATATTTGAATGAAAAGAAGTTTTCTGATTACGTGATGAAATAGAGTGGATTTAGTCAAGCTCTGGTAGGGGGTGGGGAGTGAACACCAGCTCCTTTGCACGACAGAGAACTCAACAGCTATAGTCGATTTGGATGCTTGGCTTGGGTTGGCTTTGGTGGTACAGGTAGTAGACACTAGAAACCTGGGCAGTCATTCTTTTAAGAAAATGGACTTGTAAGCATTAAGAACTCCTTTTAAGTTCAAACAAGACAGTTCGAGTTTTTCCATCCTACAATTTCCATTAGGCAGTTATTCCATCTGGTAATTATTGTGGACCCAAATGTTTTTTAATATATATTTATTGATATCAGAGAAGAAGGGAGAGGGAAAGAGAGTTAGAAACATCAATAATGAGAGAGAACCATTGATCGGCTGCCTCCTGCACGCCCCACACTAGGGATCGAGCCCACAACCCAGGCATGTGCCCTGACCGGGAATTGAACCATGACCCCCTGGTTCATGGGTCTACACTCAATCACTGAGCCATGCTGACCAGGCATGGGACCCACATTTTTGAAAGAAAAAGAAAACCAAACATATGAGAAATCAATGGACTGGACCTCACAGACTTTTATCCCAGCTTTTACTTTTATATGAAGCAAGTCTGCACACTTCTAACTCTCTGATTTCCATTTTCAAGATGAGCTAGTGAAGTAAATTCCTCCCTACATGCTAAATTATTCATATGCATTAAACTTGTGATTGGGGAAAGTCATGCAGACAGGACAGCCCTCTGAGCTTGTTGGCCAATGGGTAGTTGTCGAGCTGAGAATGGTATGTTGATCATACAACTGATGTTTCTGGAATGACAAATGTTTCCCATCAGTTAATAAAAATGTTTTTGGACAGGTGCATTCTTGAAATCAATGATAACAGCTCGATCCCTTGGTATTTATTGACATTCTCATCCTTGTCTCGTTGGCCTTAGGTTTAATATGCCTCATGACGACAGCAATAAGTGCAAAGAAGACGGAGCCAAGAGTCCCCAGCATGTCATGGCTCCAACATTGAACGTTTACACCATGCCCTGGAAGTGGTCAAAG